CCTCGCGCTTTCGTCGCCTCAAGTAACGGCCACTCCATGTAGTGTCGGCTGACCAAGTGAGTATATATAACTAATGTTACATCAGCGAGACCATAGAAATGGTGGCTATCTCTACCAAAGTGACATAATCAAGTGTTAGGTGTGACAATTCTTGCTCCCAGTGGATTATTCTCATGTGTGGATTATCGTCCACATGGGGGGTGCCCGACACAACCACACGCGAGCGTATGCCCTTACTAAACGGACACCACAGGCCAGGCCGTCACCTCTGTGCCTCATACGCATAAGATCTAGTTTCTTCGTCCGTATGGGCCCAATAGCAGAGGTCGGAGGCGGAAGTATCTGTCGCCCAAGGTGCTGGTCACTATGCCTGGTAACATTCTTTGCTGCGTCTGTGCTAGCCCGAACCAAAACTGCACAAACTGTCTTTGTGCGAGAAACAATCGATCATGTGTGGATTGCAGGAAGCTAGACCAGTGTCGGAACCCACGTGGCAGGGAGCCGACACAGGCGGCCACAGTGGATATCGCCGGGACCCAACCACCCGATGATATCCCAAATGATAGCAGTGAGTCTACTCAACCCGAAAATGTAGTACTAATAAATGCTGCTCCCTCAGTAGCAGGTGTCCAGGTGGAGAATGAGAGACTGCCGCATCAGTGGAAAGGCATGTCGATGGAAAATGCAGGCGTATGGGTCAAAGAAACCTACTCAGAAATTGTCAAGTGGTCGCCCGGTAACTTATTTGAACCACCCAAGTGTGCGGCCACCAAAGAAATGATTCGGGAGATGACTTTCTTCATGACCGATTACACTCAGGACCGCTTCCTCGCCCCCCTAGCTCTTCAAATACTGGCAATAATACCACATCTATTTTGTCAGAGGACACACACAAAGGCTAAGCACAAAGAAAATGTGGCAGCAATGAAGAGAAGATCGACAATGTGGCGGACTGGGGCCCTAGATGATCTCCTATGTGAAGCAAGAACACTGCAGGAGAGACTAAAATCTACGGGTGACGGAAAGCAAAACACCGATGACGTGGCAAGAAAATTTGGAAACAAAATGCGTGTGGGAAAAGTGTCTCTCGCGGTAAGATCTCTCACTCAGGAATCTTCCGGTGGGGTGATGCCAATAAACAGAGCGACTTTAAACCTACTGAAAGAGAAACATCCCCCTGCAAGTGAAGTTGAAGGCATCAGGCTCCATGGTGACTATATCCCACCAAATGCTGTCCTGTTCGAGAAAATAACAGGAGAGATGGTGTGGAAAAAGGCACTGAAGACTCGTGGAGGAGCCGGCCCTTCAGGTCTGGATGCAAACGGTTGGAGAGTCATCCTCAGCACAAACAAGTTTGGCCCTGTAGCAAGCGATCTCTGCACTGCCATTGCCGCCCTTGCAAGAAAGCTTGCATCCTCTTGCTGCCATCATCTCCAGGCCCTGACGGCCTGCCGCCTTATTCCTCTGGAAAAGAAACCAGGATGTAGACCTATAGGGGTGGGGGAAGTGCTGAGGCGGATTATCGGAAAGTGCATAATGGAGGTGGTAAAGGACGATGTCAGGGCAGCAGCAGGGAACTTACAAGTGTGTGCTGGCCACCAGGCTGGTGGGGAGGCGGCCATTCACGCCATGAGATTGATATTCGAGCAGCGTGATTGTGAGGCCGTTCTCCTGGTGGATGCTTCAAACGCATTCAACATACTTAACCGCAAGGCTGCACTGCACAACATCAAGATCAAGTGTCCTAGCTTTGCGATGTATGTTGAAAATTCGTATAGGAATCCATCAGACCTCTACATAGTAAACAACAAGGCTCTACGAGGTGATACCATCCTGCAGTCGACTGAGGGAACAACACAGGGGGACCCCGTTGCAATGGCAATGTATGCAATAGGCCTATCAGTGCTCCAACAAGAAATAAAGTTTGAAACAACTGGGGTCAAACAAGTGGCATATGCTGATGACCTCACAGGAGCAGGAAAAGTGGAGGACATCAAAAAGTGGTGGGACCTGGTAACATCGCGAGGTCCACAAATAGGGTACCACCCAAACGCCAGTAAATCCTTCCTCATCGTGAAGCCAGATCATTATGATCGGGCTTTGGAGGTTTTCGGCGAAAGTGAGGTCAAAATAACTAAGGACGGCCAAAGACATCTAGGCGCAGTGATTGGCACTACGGACTTCAAGACCCAGTACGTATCGGGAAAGGTGAATGAGTGGGTTAGCGAAATCCAAGCTCTATCGGAGATCGCTAACACAGAGCCACATGCGGCCTTTGCAGCATTCACCCATGGAGTCAAGCATCGTTGGAACTACCTGATGCGTACCATCCCTGAGATCGGACCCCTCCTCCACCCTTTGGAAGAAGCAATCAGTGTCAAGTTCATTCCCAAACTAGTGAAACACCCTGACTTAACCCGAGCAGAAAGAACACTTCTTGCACTTCCACCAAGACTGGGAGGGATGGGACTAACTAATCCAGAGGAGATTGCTGACTCTGAACATCAAAATTCACTTAAGCTCACGGCAGCCCTCACTGACCACATAATAGCCCAGAATGCAACAGGGGAAGTGGACACCAGCGAAGTTAATAAGATCCGTAGGTCCATTACAACAGATCGGCAGCACTGCCAAAATGACATGTTGCAGCAACTATTGCTGCTGGTTCCAGAAAATTTGACAAAAAAAGTTGCTATAGCGCAGGAGGTGGGCGCCTCGAACTGGTTAACTACGTTACCGATAAGGGCAAATGGTTTCAGCCTTAACAAACAAGAATTTACAGATGCCATTGCTCTAAGGTACGGTTGGCCAGTAGATGGTTTGCCCTCCCAATGCGTGTGTGGCTCTCCCTATGATGGCGATCACGCCATGGTCTGCAAGAAGGGGGGCTTCATATGCATGAGGCATGACGAGGTAAGGGATCTCACAGCAAATATGTTGAAGGAAATCTGCCGGGACGTCATGGTAGAACCGACCCTCCTTCCACTGGATGGCGAGATCTTCCAACATAGGACTTCAAACACTTCTAACGAAGCCCGTGTGGACGTCAGTGCTCGAGGATTCTGGACGCGGGGACAGCGAGCTTTCTTCGACATCAGGATTTTTGATCCCATGGCCGTTTGTCACCGTAACCTAGCTCTCGATGCTGCGCATAGGAGGAACGAGAACGACAAGAGAAGGGCATACGGGGAGAGAATACAAAATGTTGATCAAGGCAGCTTCACTCCTCTAGTGTTCACAACCTCGGGTGGGATGGGCCCAAGTGCAAGATGTTTCTACGCCAGACTCGCGGAGCTGATCTCCGAACAGAAGCAGCAGCCCAGAAGTTATGTTACAGCCTGGATGAGATGTCGACTGTCCTTCTCTCTCCTTCGGTCGGCTTTGCTCTGCCTCAGGGGAACGAGAGCTTCCGCCCCTACTCCGACAACTGCTGCAGATATTGACTATGAGGCTACAGTCACTGAATGCCGCATAGATCTGCGGCTCAACTAACTCAACACAGATAGGATAGCTTCTTATGTATTAGGATATTTAATATTAAGGTAAATAAATGGTGGCAAAGGTGTGGCTATTGGGGGAGGCTGGAGGCCACGTAGTAGTAGTAGTAGTAGCAGTAGCAGGTAATAAAATGGCGGCGAAGGTGTGGCTATTGGGGGAGGCTGGAGGCCATGTTGAAAAAAAAGTAGTACTAGTACTAGTAGTAGTAGTAGTACTACATTTTCGCCCCGGGCCCCGATCTGGGTCAGTTACATATGCTTGGGTGGGCTTATCCCCGTAAAAAAAAATAAAAAAAATAAATACGTCCGGAACTTCAGTAAAATAACCGGTTGTAATCGGAACTTTCTCTGGTGGTATTCATTACTGTTTCTCAAATTAAAATATAATTAATTGTTAATGCTTCTTAATTCAATGGATAATTTAGCATAAAAAGTCCTGAATGGTTAATAAGTATTGATGTGTGTGCAGCTGGCTAAGCTGAGTGAGCGTTAAACTGGACAGGTACTGGACATGTCATCTAATGGCCCTGTGTCTTGACACAAACACGTCTAGGACTCGGGACACACCACAGAAACAGTAGTAGTCATTTAAGGTCCTCTACAAACCATTGGTTCCGTGTGTACAGTATTTATAAATAAGGAGAACTAAAATTCCAATCTTGATATAATTTATGAACCACCACATGCAGTGAAGGGATCAAACATCTATTTTCATTTAGCCCAAGCCATTATATAGTGGGTAGAGAGGCCATAATATAGTGGGTAGAGAAGCCATAATATAGTGGGTAGAGAGGCCATAATATAGTGGGTAGAGAGGCCATAATATAGTGGGTAGAGAGGCCATAATATAGTGGGTAGAGAGGCCATAATATAGTGGGTAGAGAGGCCATAATACAGTGGGTAGAGAGGCCATAATATAGTGGGTAGAGAGGCCATAATATAGTGGGTAGAGAAGCCATAATACAGTGGGTAGAGAGGCCATAATATAGTGGGTAGAGAGGCCATAATGGTAGAGAGGCCATAATAGTGGGAGAGAGGCCATAATATAGTGGGTAGAGAGAGCTAATAAAAGTGGCAGTAGAGAGGCCATAATATAGTGGGTAGAGAGGCCATAATATAGTGGGGAGAGAGGCCATAATACAGTGGGTAGAGAAGCCATAATACAGTGGGTAGAGAGGCCGTAATATAGTGGGTACACAGGCCATAATACAGTGGGTAGAGAGGCCATAATACAGTGGGTAGAGAGGCCATAATATAGTGGGTAGAGAGGCCATAATATAGTGGGGAGAGAGGCCATAATACAGTGGGTAGAGAAGCCATAATATAGTGGGTAGAGAAGCCATAATACAGTGGGTAGAGAGGCCGTAATATAGTCGGGAGAGAGGGCATTCTAGAAAAAATGCATTATAAATTTGACATTAGTCATAAACGATCTCCATTGTAATGCTTCATATGATGTATTAGGTAAGTTTCATTAATAACAACCATCATTTTTGTTGTCAGATTGGTCGCATTCTTCATTCTGGGGATAATCGTATTATCAACATTGTACTTCTTCTCGGGACTTGTTGCTTTCGCTGTCTACACTGATTGTGATCCACTCACCTCCGGTAAGATCGAAAAACCTGACCAGATTCTGCCATTCTTGGTGACTGACAAGTTGAGTCACTTGATTGGAATGGCTGGGATCTATGTGGCCTCCATATATAGCGGTGTTCTCAGGTATGTCTTCTTATTTAAAGTAATTTGTCAATTAAGAAATATTTACAGTTAAAAGTAGATATGTGTTGTCTAATTTATTGAAGAAGTACGAAACCTTTTAGAGTTATTATTCACAATAATTGATAAATGCTTAGAGAATTTTGTTGTAGCATATTTTGAATATCGTACCCCTGACTGAAGACCAGACACTGTATACTGATGTGAAATTGAAAAAGGTTTTGTGTTAGTCCATTAGGTTTTATCCAATAGTTGGATATTTACACTTATTGGTAAATTCTTAAATTCCTAGAAATTCTATTAGTCGTTATTAAAGACACGCCCAATACCCATATTTCTCAACTTTTTGTTTAGTACAAAACAATATTAACTTCTGTCTAATATCACCTGACAAATAAAATAAATTAGAAGACACATGATCTTATAATTCAACTGCTTCATTGTTAAGTATGTTCTGTGTCAAGAAGGTAGATAGTTCATCAGTGCAAATAGACTGGTACTTCTAGTGTATGTTTAGTAGAGTAGTAAATTGTTCATTCTGTAGCTGGAGGAACCCTTAATATGAAGGATAGTTAACAAGCCTCCTGTAAGGTGGTTTATCGAGGGTTGAGTGTCGTGACCATTGCTTAGTTTGTGTTAAGGATATCTTTTTTATAACAAAAATTACGATGACATTTATGAGTACTGGCTTGACCACAGCTGTAAATATCAAAACAAAACAAGTTAGACTCATAAGAACATAAGAACATAAGAAAATAAGGAGTCTGCAATAGGCCGGTTGGCCGCCTGTGCATGGCAGCTCCTGTCGAGAGTTACTACCACTCTCTATCATCCATGAATCCATCTACCTCCTTTTGAAACTTTCCAGAGTTCCCGCACTTACTACAAAGTTGCTAAGCTTGTTCCACTCGTCCACCACCCTATTTGTGAACCAGTTTCTTCCTATCTCCCTCCTAAACCTAAACTTATCCAACTTGAATCCGTTGCTCCGAGTCCTATCCTGCTCGGATATTATAAGAACTTTATCCATATCCCCTTTATTGATTCCTTTCACCCACTTAAATACTACTATCATATCTCCCCGCACTCTTCGTCTTTCTAGGGAATGCAAGTTAAGTTTCTTTAGCCTATCCTGATATGGAAGGTTTCTAAGTCCCGGAATCATTTTTGTCATTCTTCGCTGCACAGACTCCAGTGAATTTATATCCATTCTATAATAGGGGCACCAGAACTGAACCGCATTATCGAGGTGTGGCCTGACTAGCGCAAGATATAGTTGCAATAAGACCTCTGCACTCTTGTTACTTACACTTCTAGATATAAAACCCAATACTCTGTTTGCCTTATTTCGAACATTAACGCACTGTTTTCTAGGCCGTAGGTCCGGGCTTACAAGTACCCCTAGGTCTCTTTCACAAGTCGACTTCTCTAGGTTGATGTTGTTAAGTCTGTATACATTATAAGTATTTGTTCTTCCAATATTAAGTACGCTGCACTTGCTGGTGTTGAATTTCGTTTGCCATTTTTCAGACCACCCCTGCAATTTATTTAGATCCTCCTGTAATGCATTTGCATCCTGCCCTGAATTAATTTGCCGCCCTATTTTGGTGTCATCCGCAAACTTGCTTATGTCACTGCTGATCCCAGTATCTAGATCGTTTATGTAGATTATGAACAAGAATGGGCCTAGTACTGACCCCTGGGGAACCCCACTGGTTACACGGCCCCACTCAGATTTAACACCATCTACGCTGACCCTCTGCGTTCTATCTGTGAGCCATGATTTTATCCAATTTAAAACTTTCCCCTCGATACCATGAGCCTTAATTTTTCTCAGAAGCCTCTGATGCGGTACTCTGTCAAATGCTTTGCTAAAGTCTAAGTAAATAACATCGTAATTTTCGTCATTATCTACTACCTCGGAGACTTTCCTAAAAAACGTTAGCAGATTTGTTAGAAAAGATTTTCCCTTTGTAAACCCATGTTGAGAGTCGTAGATTAATTTGCTTTTCTCTAGATGCGATCGGATGCTATCTGCTATAATTGATTCAAGAAATTTCCCCACTACTGATGCTCTGTCTCCCTTTTTGAATATGGGTACTACATTTGCCTGTTTCCACAAGTCTGGCACAACTCCAGTGTCTAATGATTTTGTAAATAAGTTTACGAGGGGTCCGCTAATCTGTTCCCTACACTCTTTCAAGACTCGAGGGAAAACTTCATCTGGCCCTGGGGATTTTGTTTTCTTTAGTTTATTTATCCTCTTAAGAACCTCCTCTTTTCGGATAGTGATATTCTTTAATTTCTCTTCTTCTTTTCCCTTAAATATCAGTTCCACCTCTGGAATTTCATCTCAAATTTCTTCTGTGAAAACTGATAAGAAGTAGCTGTTCAATGCTTTGCTTTTTTCTTCACTGCCATTTATCACTTCTCCCCTCCCTGACTTTAAAGGCCCAACTTTGTCCTTGACCTTTGTCCTATATACCTGGAAAAATCCCTTGGAATTCGCCTTGGATTCTCTTGCTATTTTGATTTCATAGTCTCTCTTTGCTTTCCTTACACTTTTCTTAACATTCCTAGATAGTTCATCATACCTATTTCTGAGCTGCTCCTCTCCTCCCTTTAATTTCTTATATATTCCTTTCTTTATTCCTATGACATGTTTAAGATTTCTGGTCATCCACCTTGGCTCATTCTTATTTGACCTAATTTTTCTGTATGGTATATTTTGTTCTTATGCTTTATGTAGTATACTTGTGAATTTATTATAGTCATGATCAATTGTTGTGTCATCTATGACCTCACCCCTTCCTACTGGGGACTGACGTGATTGTTCTCAGGTGACCTCACCTAGGTACCTTCTTAACCCCTGATAATCCGCCAACCGAAAGTTTGGGACTCTGACCATATTGTCATTGTTTTTCGTTTCCCAATTTAGGGTGAACCTGATTTCTCTGTGATCACTGTTACCTAGTTCTTCCCCTACTGTGATATCTCTGATAATATTTTCTTTATTTGTTAATACTAGGTCTAATATATTGTCACCTTTAGTAGGTTCTGTAATTAGTTGTTTCAAAAAATTGTCCTGTTCTGCATCTAGGAAGTCTTCATATTCATAGTCACCTACTGTTACGAGTTGGGGATTTAGAATATAGTTATACGTCTACCCAGATCCCAACAGGTAACAACAATAAAAAAAAAAACAAAGACAATCGGACTATAAAAGGGTAGACAAAGGATGCGAGTTTTCGTTGTATATAATAAAGTACCATAAATCCCTTAACAAAATATTCAGCTTATAAATTACCCTTAACCAAACTTAACCTAAACATTAACAGTATATACATATTAATAAACATAAAACAATCTCGAAGCAAGTGGACGTGGGGAAATTAATACAAGATACTAGTACTTAAGTGAGGAGCTGAGATGGCTGACGAGTAAGGCTGAGTATTGTAGAAGACGGTAGGTAGTCACTGCACGTAGGTTTAGAGGATAGATGATCCTGTGGTCACTTCCCAGAGCCAAGTCCCTCTCCTCGAATTGGAGCCGACAAAGAAGACTTTGAGGAGGTGACGCAACCCAGGATAGGGAGAAGGGAAACCTCGGAGTGGTAACTAAGACGAGTCATACTCGTGTCTCGTCCCTAGATGGCGTTGCTCGTGGTGCTGGGTAGGTAGATCAGGACAATAGATGGCGTGCTTCGTAGTGCTGGGTGGAGGGGTTCGTAACACCTACAATGTTGTCCCAGTCAATAATACTGAAGTTGAAATCCCCCATAATGCATAGGTTGTTATATTTTGCTGCCCTACTCATTTCCTGCCATATTGGCTGAGCTGCTTCTTTGCCAAGACTTGGGGTCCTGTAAATCACTCCCATAATTAGTTTTTCTCTTTCTTCCGTGATTTCTACCCATACAGACTCGGTTCCTATTTCACCCTTTATTGAATTATTAATACAACATTTTAATGTATCCTTGACGAAGAGTGCGACCCCTCCCCCCTTCCTACCTTCCCTGTCCTTGTGAAAAAGGTTGTACCCTTCTATGTGGTACTCTGATAAAAAAATTTTGCTCGCCAGATTCATCCAACTTTCGGTGATTGCTATGACGTCTACATTCTCGGTACATACAACAGCTCTCAGCAAGTCTATTTTATTTCTAACGCTCCTACTGTTTGTATAGTATACATTTAAACCTACCCTTCCCTGGTCCTGTTTTACCCCTTGTCCTGAGCAACTAATTTTACTTCCCAGGACCTGCTTGTTTTTTGACTCCCACTTTCCCCGACCTCTCTCTACTGGCAAAACCCCCCTTTCGGAGTTACAATTTCACGCTCCAGGGATGCAGACAACGTCTTTACCCCCTCACGAGACAACCAGCTACATTGTTTGTGAGTTGTACAGAACCATGACAAAATACCAAGTCATTTTTCTTAATCTAGTGCTTCTTAATTAACGATTACATCATTTTTTCTATCAAGGCAAAATTATCAGATCCTTATAGCATTCATGTTCCTCACTTCTCAACACTCAGGCGGGAATGTTTCTGGAATGAATTGTTCGGTCAAATTCGGTTAGTTTTTTATGTGTAACATAAATAGCTTTTAACTGTATCCCCATTACTAAATTGAGCGAAATGAAATGAAATGAAATGATGGTCAAGTACTGTACTAATACATTTTACATAGCATGAATATTGAAGTTATTGTACTATTAAAAAAAATATTTTGTTTGTCTGTTCGCTATTGTACAGTCACCCAAAAAGTCCTGTCGCCTTTCACCCTGAACCACGAACCCCGAGATTCAGACTCGTGAACCCGAAGCAGTTGACACTGATAATATATTCTGCCCATAAATGCTTCGGATTCAAGAGTCTGAATCTCGGGGTTCGTGGTTTAGGGTGAAAGGCGACAGGACTTTTTTGGGTGACTGTACGGCTACAGTTTTGAAAACAGAGAGCTGGGATTTTACATGAAGATGTTCATATACCCAAGGAGTGTCCG